ATTTCAGATTATGCTGAACAGATACATTGTAAAGAGTAATAAAATTTCCAAGGAATAAACCCATCATCTATGGTTAACTCAAAATGTTAGTGTTTCAACCTAAAAAAAGCATATAATTGTCCAGATAGATAGGAACATTGCACAGAGAATAAGAAAGAGCAAAGAATGATCAAAAATGAATAAAGAGGGAAGATTGAGAGTATGAGAGAAAGCTGGCCATTGCAATGATAGTCAGTATCACTCACAGATTCCTGGGGAATGAGGATTGGACTGAACTGTCTCATCACAGTTTTGAGTAAATGGCTAGTTGATTGGAGCTGACAGTTAGAGCAGATTGTTCACACTCAGAAAGATTCTTAACTGGCTTTCTGTCTTCAGACAGACTGCACTTTAAGTTGTGGAAGATCAGAGTGAGGAAAAAAGTCTCTGTCTGAGGTTGGGGATTCTCGGCCTTTTCAAAGTGGACAGGTTATTTTTAGGGGGTGGCAGCTTTCTCTCTACATGAAGGTCGTGGCAGTGTTCCTCATCCACTGGCATGGACCCTCACCACCCTGGCAGTACCCTTCACTGCACTGGCAGTGATTCGCACCCACTGGCAGCCCCTGTGCATTTGGACATCCAGTGGGAACAAGGTCTAGTTCAACCACGATGCACCCCATGGTTGAATAAGCCACACAGTACATCATGCCCATAGGTGGTTATTGGCTGCCTGCACATGCTGTGTGGTGCGGAGTCAATGTCTGCACAAACTCATGGAATTATCATCCAGAGCAGGTTATGTGGGAGAGAGGATCAAATGCACTGATCACACTGGAAAATTCAGGGAGGGAGAGTGGAGGGAGGGAGTAGAGAGTGAAAGGAAAGGTTAGACCGTGGAGGGAGGGTATAGAATCATAGAATCTCTACAGTGTGGAAGCAAGCCATTTGGCCCATCGAGTTCACACTGACCCTCCAAAGACCGTCCCACCCAGACCCACCCACCTAAGCTGCACATCTTTGGACTATGGGAGGAAACAGGAGCGGCCAGAGGAAACCCACACAGACATGGGGGGACCATGCAAACTCCACACAGACTGTCGCCTGAGGATGGAATCAAACCCAGGTCCCCGGCGCTGTGAGGCAGCAGTGCCAACCACTAAGCCACTGTACTGCCACATTGATGGTGGAGGGAGGATGTAGAGAATGGAAGGAATGAGGAGGTAGGGAGAGAAGGTGGGGGGTTAGTGAATAGAGAATCTTGGTGTGAGTGAAGGATTTATTGAGTTGGAAAGGAGGTAATAAGCAAAGCAAAGTGGAAGTTGATCAAAGGGAGGGTTCAGTTGGGGAGGAAGGTGAGCAGAGGGAGGGTTTACTGAGGGAAGGAAGGTGAGCAGAGGGAGGGTTTACTGAGGGAAGGAAGGTGAGCAGAGGGAGGGTTTACTGAGGGAAGGAAGGTGAGCAGAGGGAGGGTTTACTAAGGGAAGGAAGGTGAGCAGGAGTGTTTAGTGAGGGGAGGAAGATTAGCAGAAGGCACATTGAGGAGAATAGCTTATCAAGAGGTGAGTGAGGGTGTGTGAACCAATCTCTCAGACTCCATGACGATCGTTAGTATTCTTGAACCATAGAATCCCTACAGCAAGGAAGCAGGCCATTCGGCCCGGGTCCACACCAACCCTCTGAAGAGCATCCCACCTAGATCCATCCCTGTACCCTTTCCCTGTAACTCTGCATTTCCCATGGCTAATCTACCTAGCCTGCACATCCCTGAACACTACGGGCAATTTAGCATGGCCAATCCACCTAACCTGCACATCTTTGGACTGTGGGAGGAAACTGGAGCACCCGGAGGAAACCCACACAGACACAGGGAGCGTGTGGAAACTCCACACAGACAGTCACCCGTGGCTGGAATTGAACCCGGGTCCCTGGTGCTGTGAGGCCGCCACTAAGCCACTGTACAGTTGCTAACCACTGAGCCAACGTGCAGTGAAGAAGGTACGAGTTCTGAAGGGTTTAATGTTCATGGTGTACATTGACTTCACCCATTCTACTGAGGTCTCACATAGTCTGTGAGTGAAGACAAGGTGTTCTACTCTCACTTTCAGAGGGAACAGATATATCTGGACCAGCTCCAATGTTCTAGTAATTATTTCTATCTAGTTATATTTACGGCTGTCATGCAAGAAACCATCTCGCTATCCAAGAAGCATGCCCGTTCTGTAGATACTGTATGGTGATAAATCAGTAATCACTAGGTAGACCCAAGACAAAACAAAGGAAGATTGGGGGGAGCAGTGTAAGTCAAACAGCTCCTACCCAGTACCATGTACTGGGAGAACTGGAAAGCACCCCAAGGTACCAGGAGAGGTCATCTGGTAAAATACCACAAGTGTGTTCTGTGTCGCCACAGGCAGCAGTACAGAGGTGTACAACTGGGAGAGAGTCACACTGCAAGGCATCAATATTGACGACAGACCCCTAAATTCTCGGGCCAAACATGGGCAAGGAGTGAGAGAGCCTTACCCTAGGATAAGAAACCAGCAGTCTCAAATAGAGTGTGTATAGACCAGCCCAGGAAAACTAAGGAGCACGCACCTAATTATGTTCATAGCAAGGTTATCCTAAACATAGAATATAGCATCTCCCTCCAGCATAAGGTCATGAGTAAGGATATTTGCTGACGACTGCAACATGTTCAGCACCACTCAGAGCTCCTCAGATACTGAAACATTTTCAGGTTTGGGGTGATTGAGTGGCAAGTAGCATTCATGTGAGTAACACAAGTGCCAGATAATGACTATCTCTGACAAAAGAGATTCTAATCATCACTCAGTGACGTTCAATGGCATTACTATTGCTGGATCCCCAACAATCTGGCGATTATCATTGACCACAAACTGAATTGGACCAGCAATATAAATACAGGGACTACAAGAGCAGGGACTTCTATGGTGAGTAACTCACTCACCTGGTCCGGTGCAGCTTGAACAATTCAGCATTACTCAAGATAGTGAGTTTGCAGAGTGGATAACGTGTAGGGATGGGGGTTGTGAATAAGAAATGGAGTTATGAATGAGGAGAAAAGATAATGAGTCTGGAGGGGGATAATGTGTGGGAAGAAGGGATAGTCAGTGGCAAATGGGAGAGAGTGGGGAGAGATGATATTGAGTGGGGAGAGGGGTTAGTGACTTTGGAATCAGACAATCTGCTGTACTTAAATCGGAGCATGAAATTCAGTTAGAAAATAAGAATGTTCTGGAAGCAAAACCAGAATTTTCTGGTGAAACTGAGCAGGTCTGGCAGAGTTAATGTTTTGAGTCCAGTGACCCCTCTTCAGAACTGTTAGCAGATAGTATAAATTCTTTATATACTGAAGATGAGGTTTTGGGGGGAGGGAGATGTGAGCAGAAAGGTGGAGATGAAACCCAAAAAGAGAGATGTGAAAGGGCTAGGTAAATGAGGAGATTATTGATATAGGCCAGGGTGGAAGAGAAACTGAAAAAGTGATGAGAGCTGAGAGTAGCAGAGAATGGGCTGGCTGTGCCAGAGGCAATCCACATCATAATAGGACCAGGTGTGGGTGGATAAAAAAACATGGAAGGACAGAATCAGGCTCTAAAGTTATTGAACCCAACGCTGAGTCCTAGAGGCTGCAGGATCCTCAAGTGGAAAATGAGATGCTGTTCTTTCAGCTTTCACTGAACTTCGCTGGAGCACTGCAGCAAGCCTGAGACAGAGATGTTGGCCAGAGAACACAGTGGTGTCTTGAAATTGACAACTGGAAGCTTGGGGTCATTTTTATGGACAGAGGTGTGGGTGTTCAGCAAAGTGATCACCCAAACTGTGTAACAGTTACAACTCACTGACTCCCACAGTTACCTTGACTATACATCTCAGACACTGCTTCCTGGAAGGACTCTATTCCATTCTCCCAGTTTTCTCCAACTCCATCACATCTGTCCTGATGATGCCACCTTCCGTGCGGGAGGTCGTGGCCAGAAATGTCGACCTTTTTCATCATCTGAGGTTGACAGGTCCCTTAGCTCTGTCAGACTTATTTCCCACACTTCTGCCCTCACCCTTTCTCACAACAGTGAAAGGGTCTGCCTGGTCGTCACTTGCCCTCCCACCAGCATCCATCTCCAAAGGGTGCCATTTCCACCACCTCCAGCAGGATCACACCATTTGACACACACTCCTCTCACCTCCCTTGTCAACATTTCACATGGACCATTTCATCCAGGACACCCTAGTCCCCTCCTCCTCCACTCCCAATACCTCTCCATAGCCTCACGGCACCTTCCCCTGCAATTGTAACCCCTATCTGTTTACCTCCTCACTATCCAAGGGTCCACTTTCCAGGTGAAGCAACAATTTACCTGCTCAATCTCTACTGTAGTCACTGGTCACAATGTGAACTCCTCTACACTGGGGAAACGAAACACATACTTGGTGACGGCTTTGCAAAATATCTACATTCTGTCTGCGACAAAGACCTCAAGCTTCCTAAGGTTTCTGAAGAAGGGTCCAGACCCGAAACATCAGCTTTCCTGCTTCTCTGATGCTGCCTGGCCTGCTGTGTTCATCCAGCTCACACCTTGTTTTCTCTGACTCCAGCATCGGCAGTTCCAACTATCCCCAAGCTTCCTGTTGCCTGCCACTTCAACACACCACCGTGTTTCTACACCAACATCTCTGCCTTAGGCTTGCTGCAGCAACTCCAGCGAAGCTCAGCACAAGCTGGAAGAACAACACCATTTTCTGCTGGGGACCTTGCACCCTCTAGGGCTCAACATCAATGCCCCTTTTTCATAGCTGCTATCAGTTCTGATGAAGGGTCACCAGACTCAAAACATGAACTCTGCTTTCTCCCACAGATGCTGCCAGACCTGTTGAGTTTCTCCGGCAATTTCTGTTTTTGTTTCAGATTTCCAGCGTCTGCAGTTCTTTGTTTTATTTTAATGTCCCCAAAGTATTGCCCTTTTACTGGAAATGACTGTGTTCTGCCTCTGTTTGTTCAGGTGCTGAAAGGTTTCCCAGAATGCCTGCAGGCTGACATTTGCCTCCACTTGAACAGGAGCCTCCTCCAGAACTGTAAAGTCTTCAGGGGGGCAAGCCCTGGCTGCCTGCGGGCCCTGGCAATGAAGTTCAAGACCACACATGCTCCACCTGGTGACACACTGGTCCACTATGGCGACGTATTGACTGCTCTCTACTTCATATCCCGTGGCTCTATTGAGATCCTGCGCAATGACGTGGTGGTGGCTATCCTGGGTACGTGAGTCGTATCCCTCTAGCTCTGACCCATTAGGATTGGCACTGTTCTCCCTGTAGGAGGCACTCTGTACCAGTGGTCAGGTGTTGGCAGGCACCATTGAACACAGAGGACGAATGGGCTTGGATCCCAAGGTTTACAAAAGCTGCAGAAAATATTTTTTATATATTTACTCATGCGATGTGGGCATCTCTGGCTAGGCCAGCATTTATTGCCCTCCTTAATTGCTCAGAGGGCAGTTAAGAGTCAACCACATTGCTGTGGGTCTTGAGTCACATGTAGGCCAGACGAGGTAAGGATGACAGATTTCATTCTGGTCATCATTAGACCCTTAACTCCAGATTCTGTATCAAATTCAAATTCCACCATCTACCATGGCAGGATTTGAATCCAGGTCCACAGAACATTAGCTGAGTTTAATAGTCTAGCAATAATACCACTGGACATTGCCTTCCCTTTAATAAAAGATTTAAGTTAGGGGTTTTCCCTGTGATAAGAGTGAACAGCCTAGAATGGGGCAGGGGAGAGGGACATGTGTTTTGGTAAGAGGTTGGGATATCTGTCACTGTTCCAGCTTCAGGGTAGTGCCCTAGATCCAACTATTTTCAAATGTTTCGATGAACTTCTGTGCATCAGAAGACCATAAGTGGGGTGTCAACTGATGATTGTACCAAGTTTAGCATTTCTCACAACTCATCCGATATTGAGGCAGTCTGTGCCCATATGCAGCAAAACCTGGATATCATCCAGACTGATTAAGTGGCAAGTGATACCATCTCAAACGGGAAAGAATCTAATTAAATGACATTACAATCACTGAACCCGAACATTATGAACAAGCTGCTTGATCAGAAATTAACTGGAATAACCATATAAGTACTTCAAAAGCAGGTCAAAGGTTGGGAATCTACAGCAAGTAACTTAGCTTCTGTCAATCCAAAGCCTGTCCATTACCAACAGGGCACAAGTACTCTCCATTTAACTGGTCACAGTGACCAAGGAAACTCAGGCCTTCTCATATCCTCTCTGTCTGGCCCCTTCCCTTCCTGCCAGATCCCCCACACTCAGCAGCACCAACCCCTCTCCCCTCTCTCTCCAAAAGTCCCACTGGCACTTTGCTGACTTCTATTCATTCTATTAAACATTTCATGAAGGACGCTCAAATGGGGGGAGCACCATTCTTTAAATGACCTGATCATGGCAAAGTAGTAGATAGCCCAGCAGAATGTTTCCAGGATCTTCAGTCACATGAGAAGATTGGGCATGTTTTCCTCAGAGAAGATTGAGAGGGGTTTGATATGGGGGTTCAGAATTGTGAGGGATCGTGTCAGAATAGATAGGGAGAAACAGTTCCCATTAGTGGAAGGATTGAGAACCAGACAACACAGATTTAAGGTTCTCAGCAAAATAAGCTATGGTGACACAAGGATAACACAATGTGGAGCTGGAGGAACACAGCAAGCCAGGCAGCATCAGAGGAACAGGAAAGCTGATGTGTCGGGTCGGGACCCTTCACAAGGAACAGCTTTTACACACAGTGAGTGGTCAGGGTCTGGAATGCACTGCCTGAGAGCATGTTGGGGTCAGGTTCAGTCAAGAGATTCAAGAGGGAATTAGATTATTGCCTGTAAAGGAAGGATGTGCAGGGTTATGGGAACAGAGTGGGGGGAGTGGCTGTAATTGAATTGCTCCTTCAGAAAGCCAGTGACAACATGATGGGCTGAATGGCCTCTTTCTGTGCTGTAACCAGTCAGTGAGGAGGACTGTTATGGATTTCACAACGATCCAGCCAGGGAGGTAAAATAGCCAGATGCTTGGCAGATGGAGTTCGCTGTGGGATGTATGAATTTTTGCAATTTGGAACAACGACTAAGGCAAGACTGTGCATCATAATCAGCAGGATTTTCAAAAATGCAGACAAGCAGAGAGACATTGGCAACCATTTGCACAAACTTTTCAATGTGGCAGGGCACATTGACAGAGTGGTTAGAAAAGCAGATTTAGGTTTGTCAGGCAACAGAATAAGAAAGCAAAGAAGTTGTACAACAAATTTATAAATCACTGGTTCAGCATCAGATTGCAATGTGCAACTTTGTGATAGATGTCAAAGCATCAGCAGTTTGTTACCGGGGATGAGGGAGCTGAAAGCTGAAAGTGATAAAGAGAAAGCTGGAGGATAGAGGCTTTCAAGATTGTAGAGTCATACAGTCATACAGCACAGAAGCAGACCCTTTGACCAACATGTCCATGCCAACCAGGTTTCCCAAACTAAACTAGTCCCATTTGCCTGTGTTTGGCCCATATCTTTTTAAAACTTTCTTATTCATGTACCTTCCAAATGTCTTTTAAATATTGTAACTATACCTGCATCTACCACTGCCTTTGGCAGTTCATTCCATATACAACCCCATGCTGTGTGAAAAAATTGCCCCTGAGGTCCCTTTTAAATCTATCCCCTCTCACCTTAAGCCTTTAGTTTTGAACTCCCTTGCCCTAAGGAAAACACCTTTGCTATTCACCTTATCTATGTCCCTTGTGATTTTATAAACCTCTATAAGGTCACCCCTCAGAGTCCTATGCTCCAGGGGAAAAAGGTCCCAGCCTATCCAGCATCTCCTCATAACTCAAACCCCCTAGTCCTGGTAACATCCTTGCAAATCTCTTCTGTACCCAGTCCAATTTGATAATATCCTTCCTATAGCAATATGCCCAGAACTATACGCAGTACTCCAAAAGTGGCCTGACCAATTTCCTGTAGAGCAGCAACATGTCATTCCAGCTCCTATGCTCAATGGTCTGAGCAATGAAGGAAAGCATGCCAAATGCCTTCTTCACCACCCTGTTTATCAGCCCCTTACAATGTTCCTGAACCCCTGGGTATCTCTTGTTCAACAACACTCCCCAGGGCCCTACTCTGTATGTCCTGCCCTGGTTTGTCTTGCCAAAACGCAACACCTCATATTTATCTAAATTAAATTCCATCTGCCATTCCTTGGTCCATTGACCTATCTGATCAAAATCCCATTGTACTCTTAGATAACCTTCTTCACTGTCCACTATACCACCAATTTTGGTGTCATCATTATAATCAGTTTTGAGAGGGCAGGCCTTGCCAAAGTGGAGATGGAGACCCCAAGTAGGTGTCACAAGTTAAGATTTGGGGGTTTTGAGAATCCCAACGAAGCCTGATGTGGAGGTGAGGACCAAGATATAACTGCAAACCCCTGGTCCAACAGGCCCTCATTCTGACTGCTCTTTCTGATGGGTTGAGACAGTTTTCAAGCCTTGGGGTGGGGCCACAGTGGGAAAATGTTGGGAAACATTGAGCTGGAATAAATAAAATTGTTATGCTATCTGGCAATAACCAAAGACCACAGATTCAAAAAGATTGGCAAGAGATCGAGCAGACTTCTTTTCTCACCCAGAGAGTCAGCAGAGTCTGAAACTGTCGACTGGAAAAGGTGTGTGGATTTGTTACATAAGTCATTTTCAAAAGGAGTTGGATCACATCTTGAGGGATGAGGAACACATAGGACAACCGACAACAAGCAGGAATATGGGATTAATCTTAACTTCTTTTTCAAAGAGCCAGCAAGATTATGCTGAGCTGAATGTATGTATAATTCTATGATGCAGACTCATGGAGTCCCTCAAATATGCTCCCTGGGATTAGGAAGAAACGATTTAATCAATAGACTGAATGACCTCCTCCTGTTTCTGAAAAAGGCTCTGGAGTGGGATGTGAATTGGTGACATCTGCACTCGTTGAGCCAGGCTGATCAGACTCTGTGAACACTGTGAGGTCCAGTGCAGAGGTTTGATATTTTTGAGGGTTTTCTTGATTCCAGGGAAGAATGACACGTTTGGGGAACCAATCAGCCTTTATGCCAGGCCAGGGAAGTCTAACTCTGATGTACGGGCTCTAACATACTGTGATTTACATCGTATCCTGCGAGATGATCTCCTGGAGGTTCTCGACATGTACCCCGATTTCTCCAATAACTTCTGGACCAATTTGGAGATCACGTTCAATCTCAGAGATGTGAGTTTTAATCCTTTCCACTTTTTGCTTTGATAAATGCAAAACAATAATTGTGCAATGCTTCCCTCATTGCTCTCTGTGCTGTTTAACATGGTGTGTCTCAGTGTACACCTAGTCTGTCTGTGTCTCAATGTACACCCAGACTGTTTGTATCTCAGTGTACACCCAATCTGTCTGTGTCTCAGTGTACACCCAGACTGTATGTCTCAGTGTACTCCCAGTCTGTGTCTCAGTGTACTCCCAGTCTGTATGTGTCCCTCCATCATAAGGATTAGAATTGGGATTAGATTAGAATCACTGATGATTGCACAATGTTTAACACCATTTTCAATTCCTCAGCTACTGAAGCAGTCCAAGTCCAAATGCGGCAAGACCTGAATAATATCTGGCTTTCGGCTGACAATTGGCAAGTAACATTCACATCACACAAGTGCCAGAGAATGACCATCTCCAAAAAGAGAAAACCTAACCATTGCAGGTTGGCATTTAATGGCAGTACCATCACTAACCTCTCCCACACCAACCCCCCTCCCCTGTCAATATCATGCGGATTACCATTGACCAGAAACTGAATGGTCTTGCCATATAAATACAGTGGCTACAAGACTAGGCCAGAGGCCTGGAATCCTGCAGTGAGTAACCCACCTCCTGACTCCCCAAAGCCTGTCCACCATTTACAAGGCACAAGTCAGGAGTGTGATGGAATACTTCCCACTTGCCTGGATGAGTGCAGCCTCAACAACACTCAAGAAGCTTGACACCATCCAGGACAAAGCAGCCCCCTTGATTGGCACCACCTCCACTGCCCTCAGTAGTAGCAGTGTGTACCATTTACAAGATGCACTGCAGAAATTCACCAAATATCCTTAGACAGCACCTTCCAAACCCACAACTACTGCCAACTAGAAGGAGAAAGGCTGCAGATACATGGGAACACTGACATCTGCAACTTCCCCTCCAAGCCACTCACTATCCTGATTTGGAAATGTATCACCATTCCTTCAGTGTTGCTGGGTCAATATCCTGGAATTCCCTCTCTAAGAGCAATGTAGCTCGACTTACAGCAAACAGACTGCAGCTCACCACCATCTTCTCAATGGCATCCGGCGATGGGCAATAAAAGCTGGCCCAGCCAGGGATGCCCGCATCCTATGAATAAATAAAGAGTAGCACTAGAACCCGCAAAACTACAGACCAGGTTCTGGTAAGTAGGATAAGAATGGGTGACTGGTTTATTCACTTGGTGCAGGTACTGTGGGCTGAATAACTTATTTCTGTGCCATAACATCTGTCATGGTTCCATGGAAAATGGGATCGTTCTGTGCCTCCCTTTGCCAGTGTCAGGAGCCGAACTAGAATTGGCCTCCCCCTGTGAAGTGAAGCGAGACAAACTTTGTTCAATGGCACAGCACTGATGAGGTCTCCGGGTTTCTGATTGGTGGTTTGACTGTAGCTCACAGTTTATACAGACCAGCAGGGTAAACATTGACAGAGTTTGCTATGGCCTTTTAAAATTATGGAGTATTTACAGCTCAGAGACAGGCCATTCAGCGTTAGCAAGTTGTGTCAGTGTTTCTGCTCCTCACCAGTTTTCTGACACCCTCTTCAACCATTGTATATCCTTCTACTCTCCCTGTATTTCTCCAGCTCCCCTTTACAAGTATCAATAGTTCTTCTTAAATTCATTCATGGGATGTGTGCATCACTGTCCAGGCCAGCATTTATTGCCCATCCCTAATCGCCCAGAGGGCAGTTAAGTGTCAACCACATTGCTGTGGGTCTGGAGTCACATGTAGGCCAGACCAGGTAAGAATGGCAGTTTCCTTCTCCAAAGGACATTAGTGAACCAAATGAAAACCGAAAGAACTGCGGATGCTGTAAATCAGGAACAGAAACAAAGTTGCTGGAGAAGCTCAGCAAGTAAGGCAGCATCTGTGAAGGAAAAAACAGTTAATGTTTCAGGTCTGGTAACCCTTCCTCAGAACTGTGAACCAGATGGGTTTTTCCCCAATCAATTGACAATGGTTTCATGGTTATCATTATACCTTAATATCACATCTTAATTCCAGATATTCATTGAATTCAAATTCCACCATCTGCTATGGTGGGATTTGAACCTGGGTCCCCTAAACATTACTTGGGTCTCTAGATTAATAGTCTAATGATAATGCCACTACACCATCACCTCCCTTTAAGGCTTCTTGTGGTGCAGTGGTGGTGTCTCTATCTCTGAGCCAAGGAGGCCCACGTTGAGGTCCCAGTATTACTCAGGTCAGCTGCTCCATCCGGAAGTGAGTTCCACATTTTCACTATTCTCTCAGTAAATAGATTTCTCCTTAATTTCTGATTGGATTTATTAGTGACTGTGTTCTATTTTAGACCTGGTTATTTAGGATGCCTTTAATCTGTGCTTTAATCTCCAATAACACAGCACCAACCTTGTCTGTCACTGATCACAAATCTTCAGATCTTCAGCACCCAGCAGATAACAGTGGTCAAAATCTGAACACGGTTTCTTTGTTATTTATAACCTGCCCATCGTGGCATCTGGTGGTACATGTGTTCACTTGTCAGAGCAGCCTGGTCTGACTCTTCTTACTCACCTATGGAGTAATATTAGGATCAGGAGGAAGCCATTCAGCCTCTCAAGCTTATTCTACCATTCAGTCATACCATGGATAATACACATTTGGAGTCCATTTCCTTTAGATACCTATATTCATTAAAATAATGTCACCCTTAATCCAAAAAAGCTCTAATTCACCCTCAATGTAACAGACTTTCAGGGGGATGGGTGGGGAGAGTTTCATATTTCCACTATCCTGTGTGAAGAATGTCTCCTGATGTCCCTCCTGAATGGCCTTGCTCTAATTTAAAGACTGTCCTCCATGAACTTCAATTTTCAACAAAGCAAATCATTTCTCTGGATCTATTCTGTAAAATCCTGTTATCAGTTATAGAGTAATAGAGTCATTAAGTCATTTGGCACTGAAACAGACCCTTCGGTCCAACTAGTCCATGCCAACCATAATCCCAAATTAAACTAGTTCCACCTGCCTGCACCTGGTCTATATCCCTCCAAACATTTCCTACTCATGTACTTATCAAAAGGTCTTTTAAACGTTGTAACTATAGCCGCACATGAGCCACTCACTGTGTAAAAAAATTGCCTCTCATGTCAGTTTTATATCTTTCTCCTCTCACCTTAAAAATATGCCCCCTAGTCTTGAAATCCCCCACCTTAGGAAAAAAACATCTGCCATTCACCTTATCCAGACCCTAAACCTCTACAAGGTCATCTCTCAACCTCCTACACTCCAGTGAAAGAAGTCCCAGCCCTATCCAGCCTCTCAGTTCAAACAGATCATACAAAATCTCCAAAACAGAAGACAGTACTAGCTCAGTCTTTACAACCCTTGCCTTTAACATAAACCTTTAAGATCCCCATGATCAATGATCAAATTTTCTGTTCCACATTTTGGGTCCAGTCAAAAAGTCCTTTACTTCTCCTTGCTTGCTCAATGGCAAGAATCAGACTGTATCCATGTCCCAGTTTCATTTAAACCACACTTCCTTCTTCTTTCTCCTCCTCTCGATCCCACTGCCATAGAAACCTGTATCCACATTTCCATCATCAGTAAAATACAAACAAAACGCTGCAAAAACTCAACAGATCTGGCAGCATCTCTGGAGAGAGAAATAGTTAACATTTTCAGTCCAATATGACTATTCTTAAAGTCTCAAAGTGGATGCACATTGTTATAAGATAACAAGGTCTAGAGCTGGATGAACACAGCAGACCAGGCAGCATCAGAGGAGCAGGAAAGCTGACATTTCCGGTCTGGACCCTTCTTCAGAAGCTTATCAGCTTTCCTGCTCCTCTGATGTTGCCTGGCCTCCTGTGTAAATCCAGCTCCACACCTTGTTATCTCAGACTCCAGCATCGGCAGTTCCTACTGTCTCTGGACACAAATTGTTAGCTGTGTTCCCCTCTGCCCAGGTGATGGTGATGAAATGATAATGTCACTGAACAGTTCTGAAGGAAGTTCACTGGACTCAAAATGTTAACTCAGCTTTCTCTCCACAGATACTGCCAGACCTGCTGAGTTTCTCCAACAATTTCTATTAATGCAAAATGCCAGCTTAATGTTCTGGGAACATGATTTCAAATCTCTCCATTGGAGATTGTGAAATTTAAATTCAATTTTAAAATATCTGGAATGAAAGGTAGCCAAGAGGCAACAACATTACTATTGGTTGCAAAAACCCATCTGATTCATTAATGTCCTTTAAATAAGTAAACCAGCCATCCTCACCTGATCTAGCCCTATCTGTGGCTCTGGATCCATTCTTAATTGCTCTCTGGGCAATTATGGATGGCAATAAATACTGATAGCCAGAAACACCCACAGGCAAAAAAAATAATAAAATCAGACCTGCTGAGTTCCTCCAGCATTTTCTAATTATATTTCATATTTTTAGCATCTGTAGTGTTTTGCTTCTGTTTAAGTTTACAACCCCTAGCCTCAGTGATACTAGAGGGACCCTCTTAGGTAAACCCCATCAAAGTATTCTCTGGCTAATACCGGAATTATTTAGAGTAATGAGAGGTTAGAGAATTACGCACAAAGGCTCAGTGCCATTAGAGGTCTCTCAATGAAACAGAGAAGGTTAAAGGTATGGCTAATCAAAGGTTTTAAAATTGTAAAAATCTTCAAGAGGGCAAATAGTGAAACATTGTTTGCAGTAGTTGGTGACATAGTAACAAAAGGAGAAAAATGAGGATTGTCACTCCAGGAACAAAGGGAGTAGAAAACTTAGAGGGAATATTTGCACTCGGATGCTGATTAAAACATGAGCTAATTCACCACAAGGATAGTCATTTTGTGTGGTAATGTCACAAAATGACGAATCAAGAGGGCCAGGTTAATGCTGGGGACATGGGTTAAAATTCCAATGTGACAGTTTGTAGAATTTGGATTCAATTAATAAAATCTGAGATTGAAAGCAGGTAATGGTGACTAATCAACTTTAGGGAAGGAAATCTGCTATACTTACTTGGTCTGGCCTACATGTGTCTCCAGACCCACAGCAATGTGGTTGACTTGCAACTGCCCTCTGAAATAGCCTGGCAAGCCATTCAGTTTGAGGGTAATTCAGAATGACCATCAAGCACTGGCCTTGCCAGCGATATCATACATAAAAGATTTACAAAAGGGACATATAAGAGAGAACCTTTAAGAAAGGATTGTTTAAGTATTTAAACATTAAATATGGGCTAGTGGAAGGGAATGAAATGAGATAGCCCAGTGTTATGGGCTGAATGTCCTCCTCCTGTGTTTAGAATTTCTATGACTCTGCATTATTCTCTATCCATGGCAACAGTCCTCACCCCATCAAATCCTGACTTTACCCTTCAATGTATTTAACATTACACGTGCAAATCAGCCTAAGGATAGGGATACAATAACCCAGTGACTCCAATTGCTTGACCCTCCTTCAGCAGTCTATTTATCCTCAGTGCCCCCTCATTCTCCCCATCCCAGAGAGATTGAGAAGTTTAGGCCTATACTCTCTGGAGTCTAGAAGGATTAGGGGAGATCTAACTGAGGTATATAAGATGCTAAAGAGGATTGACAAATTAAACATAGAGAGGATGTTTCATCATGTGGGGCAATCTAGAACGAAAGGTCAGTGTTTTAGGATAAGGGGCAGCAGATTTAAAACAGGAGAAATCACTTCTCTCAAAGGGTCATGAATCCGGGGAATTCACTACCCCAGAGTGCAGTGAATGCTGGGAAATTGAGTAAATTCAAGGACGAGATAGACAGGTTTTTAATTAGTAATGTCTAAGTAAATACTAATGTCTAATTAGAAATAGGCTGAAGGGCTATGGAGAGCACATCAGGAAAGTGGAGTTGAGGCCAAGATGAGATCAGCCAAGATCATATTGAATGGTGGAGCAGGCTCAAAGGGCTAAATGGCCTACTCTTGCTCCTAATTCTTATGTTCTATTCATAATACACCAGATACATGGCCCATTTTAACTGAGCATGTGCACTAAGCCTCATTCCATCCATATTTAAAATCAGAGCTGTCAGCCATATCTATATAGCAGGGGTATTCTGGAAGGAATTTTGTACCCCAATGTGTCTCTGAATCAGCGTACTGCAATAGGTGCATGCTAAGTCTGGCTGAGTACCAAAACTGTCTTCGTACAAATGGACAGTACACGTCTGCGTAAATAAATTTATCTGTGTACCACTGTACACTGAGTGTGTCTTTATCTTTCTGTAAACTGAAAGAACACCAAGCATGTACATGTGCAGAGTGTATCATTGTGCTCATGTTCAAAAAGCTTTTCCACACAGCAGTGCACATTTAGTATGCCTGCGTACCACTGTGCACCAAGAATGCCCACGTACAGCCAGTGTGTCAATGTTTTGTGTATCAGTGGACATTGTTTCTGATTACCCGCCTGTACCGTGTGTGTGTGTGTGTGTGTGTGTGTGGTCAGTTAACTGGATGGCTAGCTTGCAATGCAGTGTGATGCCAACAGCATTGGTTTCAATTTTTTTAATTCATTCATGGGATGAGGGCGTCACTGGCTAGACCAGCATTTATTGCTCATCCCTAATTGCCCAGAGGGCAGTTGAGAGTCAGTCACATTGCTGTGGGTCTGGAGTCACATGTCAACCAGACCAGGTAAAGATGGCAGTTTCCTTCCCTAAAGGACATTAGGAACCAGATAGGTATTTTTCTGACAATCAACAATGGATTCATGGTCATCATTAGACTCTTAATTCCAGATTTGTTTTTCTATTGAATTCAATTTCCACCATCTGCCATGGTGGGATTTGACCCCAGGTCCCCAGAACATTACCTGGGTCTCTGGAGATAACATTCCAGTGATAATATCACTAGGCCATTGCCTCCCCAAATTTCTACAACTCCTGTACTATGATGTTATCATTGCAGGTTACCATGAAGGACTCTCCTTCTCAAACTCTCCCCTTGGCTGAGGTGTGGTGAGCCTCAGGTTAAACCACCACCAGTTGTCTCTCTCCCTAATGACAGAGCAGCCCCATGGTCTGGTAGAGTATGGTGATACTACCTTTACTGACCCTACCAGTATACTGACTTATTGCGGGTACTCAGTCCCTCAAACTCCCCAAACGTGTCCTGGAATCTGAGGGCCTCATTGTTTAAGACAAGCACTCTTTTTTGTTCTTTAAAATGCATTTTATAGGCAGATCGGATTCTCCGCTCACCCCCAAGTGAGGATTCAGACAATGGGAATAGAAGAGTTCGGCGGAGGAAGCAATCTTTCCGGGAAAGGAGTAACACTGGTAAGTGTGCAGACTGGGGGCTCTGTCCTTTATAATCGGCAGCTGCATAACTGTACAATAAATATCACCGGCTCCAAAGCTGGATCCCCAGTTGAACATCGAGGAGGAAGAGGAGGGTGATGTGACATCAGTGAATCAGAGTCAACCATCAAGCTGAGTCAACTATCAAGATGAGGACTAGTTACATATTCACAGATCTGAAACACACACCACACAGTCTGCTGGGACAAGCAAAGTCTATCTGCAATAGAGGCAATCAATATGCATTCTGCATTAACACGTTTATTGTATCCCCAGTTTCTATACTCAGTCTGTCCTCACATTGCAGTGAACAGAGTCACATTCAGTTTGTTCCCTGTGTTCCCCATCCCTTTCTCCATGTCTGGCTCTGATATTTCTAATTGACCAATTATTACGCACCTATGAGATGAACTTGGACCCTCTGCCCAGAGATAGGGCACTGCACCACAACAACCCTAAAGTTGTAGGCTAATAGATAGAGATTGATTAATTTACCAATTAATGAATTGATTAATTAACAATGATCAGTTGTAACTCCATTATTACTGTATTTGCAATGTCCACAATGTCTGATAGTGAATTGGAAGGCAAGTCATAGTGTAGTACAACTGAATAAACCTTTTCAAAGGACAATGAAGTCCTATATTCTGAATCCTGTGATGAATTTAATAGAAATTTTCCTGCATTTGCACACTTGACTGGGAGCAAAAACCAGCTTCTGTCTAAGTCTCATATTTGTTTCAGTGTGTATTTAATGAGGCATAAGAGAATACCCAATTAATCAGGATCGACCTACAATTAAACAATTGATATACAATTAGCTCTGCAATGTAGGTGCCATTGCAAGGCAGTATTAATTAGAATCATTTGTGACTCAGATGCTGGTCATTCAATCGAGTATGAGTTGCTGCAAAGGACTGTGTCAAGCACTATGTGTCTTAGGGAGCGACTAATAGGTCCTGACTGGGTTGGGGAAGGGAAATTTGATGGGTGGGGAGATGGTTCCTGTTGGGCATCAGTAGAATGGGTATTACTTTTTCCATTACTGTCCCATGATTTTCATTGTCATTTTCTGGTGCAGGTTCAGAAATGATCAGATTTGACTGAATTTAGTTTCCTTACTTGCATTGATGAGATTATGAACTTGTAAATGTTGAGTTCTGAATTGAGAATTTGAGGCATTTGGATCACCGTACTCATGGTCTTAGAGGAATTTGTCTTTTAATTGCAAGTCAAAAAGTTGAGATTTCTTCAGGATCCTGCTGACCTGTCCATGGAACTCTATCTTCAGTGGCCCATGTTTTGGGGTAAACTATGTTGTGGTTGGTGTTGGACTGGGTTGGACAAGGTCAAAAATCACACGACACCAGGTTATAGTCCAACAGGTTTACTTGAAATCACAAGCTTTCATAGTCTTGCTCCTTCTTCAGGTGAGGATGACACTACACACATACACACACACACACACAGACACACACACACAGAGACACAGATACACACACATACACACACACACAGATACACGCACACAGACAGAGAGACACACACACTCACAGATACATGCACACACACACATACATACACTCGCACATACACACACACAGATACACATTGTGTGTGTCTGTGTGTATGTCTGTCTGTCTGTGTGCATGTATCTGTGTGTGTGTATGTGTGAGTGTATGTCTGTGTGTGTGTCTGTATGTCTGTATCTGTGTGTGTGTGTGTGTGTGTGTGTGTAGTCTCATCCTCACCTGGACAGGTCAGCAGGATCCTGAAGAAATCTCAACTTTTTGACTTACAATTAAAAAACAAATTCCTCTAAGACCATGAGTATGGTGACCGACGTGCCTTGAATTCTCAATTCAGAACTCAACGTTTAAAAGTTCATAATCTCATCCACACACACACATACATATATACACACACACATATATACACACACACACACACACACAGGCAGACACACACATGCACACATAGACAGACATACACACACACAACCTGTTTACTAGATGGATGGTAAACCAATCAGGAATCCCTCTTCTAAAGCCCTGCTCTTCTCCTGTCAGTTGTGTTTGAGTGAGTGCAGAGTTAACACAGTCTATCTTCTCATGGCCATGTTTATGGTGTGCATGAGCCTCCTTTTGAGGTAATTGTGGGTTGAAGGATGCTCCACCAGTCCTCTTTCCCTGCCAATCCTCTTTCCTTGACTGTGTCCAGGGAATTATTTGCTTTAATGTTTTTATTTTTATTTGACCTTTTCCTAATCAGGAGTTGCTATTACACACCTCTGGAGCAGGTGGGACTTGAAACTGGCCTCCTGGTCTATTCTAGGGGTAGGGATACTACCATTGTGCCACAAGAGGCTCCCACCTACTTGCTTTACAGTGAGAAAAGGATCAACAACTATGAGTCTTAACAAGAAGCTCTTGTATAATAAGATGTAGTTTATTGCTGGATAGTAATCAAGGACAAGTTATATTCACTAGTTTGAGACTGTTCCTAACACTTATGGGAGAGGTAGATGACATATCTGTCCCCTTCAAGATATTTTCCCTTTTTCTCCACCCAAAACTGTATGACATTGTCAGATTGGGTTGAGCATATGAAGCCTCTAACATTAACCCTTTCAGAGCCATTAACTTATACAACACCTCATATCTCTCTTCATCTCTTCAAAACAATTTTTTTTATCCTTTTCTCCCTCGTGTTTATTTAGCATGCCCATGAATACATCACTATTATTCACTTCAACACTCTGTGTGGTAGTGAGTGTCATTTTCCTGCTACTATCTGGGTACAGTAGTTTCTCCTGAATTCCCTATGGCTTTTTTAAGTGCTATGTAGTCCTACTTCTGAGATTCCCCCATAAGTCAAAATATCTTCTCTACACCTCCTGATCAAATCTCCTCATACTCTTAATGACCTCCATCAGGCTATCCTCTCAGCCTTTGCTCTTCCTGCTTGTTTTAGATTTAACTATGATGATGCTCTCTATGGTTGGATATCCTTGGTGACACCAATGAGCAGTGAATGACCAAAATCCTTGGCGTGCTAACTCAGTACCTTCAGGAGCCAAGGGGGGAGTTTGCAGTGGAGGGAGACGATTGTTTTTCTCACAGTGTTGTGATATCTCTTCATTGGTGAGTGTGGGTGCTGAGAGGTTGAGTATAATATTTATTAAAGCCTTGGATTTCAGATGCTTTGAATAAAGGAGATCCTGATGGAGCCAAGGTCCCACTAACAAACCACCGGACTCACACAACCAGGGAGCACTGGGACTACAGCAGCATGACACCCCGCTCACAGACCAGTGAGGACAACCTCAAAGCTTCAGCCTCCAGTGTTACTGAGATGAATAGCAGAGGGCCAGCAACCAATCTGAACTTTGTTACATCTGACCCGGTCCCCATGGAGTACAGGAAAAAAGGCAATGGATCCCATCACTTTACAGGTACCAGAGTGTTCCTCAACTCTTTATGAATTTGTTGGGCTGTTGATGACTCATGATAGTTGTGTTCATTAGACCTGTGTTCAGAAAGCTCTGTTTCCATTTTCTGTTTCCCTTCCCTAGCTTTTCCATTTCAGCTGATATCCCATCTCCATGATGTTTCTGAATTAACATTTATCAGGAAGAATGGAAAGCCATTCAAGAAATGCTTCGTCATCTCTTTCTTAATTGGGTGATCCCTGACTTTGGGATGATGTCCTCTGGTCTTGGACTCTTCCACAAGGAGAAACAACCTCTCTGCATCTAATCTGTCAAGCTTCTGAGAATGTAATATTTTTCAATAAGGTTCTCTTCTCATTGTTCTAGACTTCAATGAATGCAGGCCCAACTTACACGACCTCTCCGCATCAGAAAATCCTTCCTGACGCAGAATTAACGTAGTGAACCTTCTCTGGACTATGTCCAATGCTAGTGTATGAGGACCAAGACTTGTTCACTCTGGTCTGACTAGTGCCTTGTATATTTTTAGCAAGACCTCCCTATTTTTATCCTCCAGTGCCTTTGAAATAAAGGCTAACTGTTTATTACCTTCCCAACTACCAACTGAATGTGGATGATAGCTTTTTATGATTCATGAACAATGACTCCAAATCCCCATTTTAATAATACTCAGCTCTACTACTCCACCTACCAAAATACATCTGCCAAATTCTGGACCACATACTTAACCTGTCTAAATCTCTCTGTAGACTTTTGGTGTCAACCTCACTATCTGCCTTCCCATCTGTTTTTGTGTCATCCACACATTTGTTGATAGTATATTCAATTCCAACATCGAAATCATTAAAATGCTCTGTAAATAACTGTGGCCCCATCACTGATCTCTGTGGCACTCTGCTAGTCACTCAAGTACAAAAGTACAGGAATACAGTGAAAAGTTTACAATGTCGCCCCACATGGCACCATCTTAAGTATAAAGTACATAGGTACAAATCTTAGAGACAAAATAGAGAGATTAAAAAATGTTGTATTTATTACAGTTATTCATAGTATAAGTTAGAAAAAGAAGAACTAAAGTTAAAAATGATAAACATTACAGTCTTTCTATAAAGAGTCTGCAGTAGATCAACGTGGGGGGCTTCTAAATGTGGTCTGACCAGACCCACAAGCCGCTGACCGCACACACTGGTCCCCAGTCCAACAACCATCCCTGCTCCAGGCACCCTGGCCATCCCCGCTCCACTCGGGTCTCCGGACCACAGGCTGCCTCCATTCAACTTGGGCCTCCAGCCCACTCTGCTCCTGTCCTCAGCTGCTCCAATAATATCACTGCTGCTCAGAGGTAAATATTAAAAAACTTTAGAAAGAGAGAAGAAGCATGAGAAAAGAAAAAAAGAAAAAAACAGACGGAATGGATGACCCCGGTCTGAGGAGCCTGGAAGCTGCCAATCCATCACCACCATCTTGGATTTATCCCAACTTGGTTTGCTCTTAGTTAGCCAAACCAAGCTAATGTACTACCCCCAACTCCACGGGCTTGTAATCTTATTAAGTAGTCTAATTTGAGGTACCTTATTAAGTACCTTTTGGAAAGCCAAATATATTACACCCACTGCTTTCCCTTTATCTATCCTGCTTTCTACCCACCCCGAAAGGATTCTATTAAATTTGTTAGGCATGATTGCCCTTTCATAAAGCCATGCTGTCTCTATTAGTTTCTTTTATGTATTTCTAAATACTCTGCTATTACCTTCTTTATAATAGACTTTAACATTTCCCAATGACAAATGTTCCTCAGACCCAATCATCCTCTGCTGCTTCATCAATGACCTGCCTTCCACCATAAGGTTAGAAGTGTGGATGTTTGCTGATGATGCGCAGTGTTTAGCACCACTTGTGACTCCTCAGATACTGAAGCAGTCCATGTTCAAAAGTAACAAGTTCTGGGCAATATCTAGGCTTGGGCTGACAAGTGGCAAAAATGACACCACATAAATGCCAGGCAATGCTCATCTCCAATAAGAGTCAATCTAACCTTTGGCCCTTGACACTCAATGAAATTGCCATCACTGTATTCCCCACTATTGACATCCTGGGTGTACCCATTGACCAGATATTGAACTGGCTCGCCATATACATAGAGTGGCTACAAGAGTAGGTCAGAAGCTAAGAATCCTGCAACAAGTAACACTCTTCCTGACTTCGCAAACCTCTCCATCTACAAATGAGGTGCGTGATGGAATATTCCCCACTTTCCTAGATGGGTGCAACAGGTAGCTTTACACCATTGGGATAAAGTACCATATCCACAAACATTCACATTCTTCATCACCGATGCTCAGTAGCAGTGGCGTGTACCATCTACAAGATGTACTGCGGAGATTCAACAAGGCTCCTCTGACAGTACTTTCTAAACCTGTGACCTTTACGATCTAGAAGGACAAGGGCAGCAGATACATGGGAACACCTCCACCTGCAAGTTCCCCTCCAAGCTTCTCACAATCCTGACTTGGAAATATATCACTGTTCTTCGGTGTCACTGAATCAAAATTCTGGAATTCACTCCCCAACAGCATTGTGGGTCTACTTACAGCATGTAGACTGCAGTGGTTCAAGAAGGCAGATCACCACACCCTCTCAAGGGCAACTAGGAATGGACAATAAATGTTTGCCCAGCCAGTGACACCTGCATCCCATGAATACATATTTTTTTTAAAATATGCTAGGAGTAAACTCTGAACAGTAGGGATTCTCTATCTGTGTTGGTTTATGGTCTCATAAATACATAGGCCATTCAACCCCTTAGCTGTTATTATCGAAACCATAAGAGGTCATTCAGCCCCAGAGCCTGTTAATTGAAGCACAGGAGGAAGTCATTTAACCCCTTGTTAACCATTTAATGGAGAAACAGGATTAAACCATTCTGCCCATCAATCCTTTTCCTGCATTCAGTTATATCATGGCTGATATGCGGTTTAAACCCAGTATCACCTTTGACCCCTATGCATTGATCCCTTTGTCTGTCAATGTACCGTGTAAAGTTTCGCTGTTTGAACCTCTTTCAGGTACTTTTACAAGTGTGTCAAATATGTTCAGTTTCTGGGGTGAGAGAAAGGACAGCCAGTTTTCAGAGTTACAAGAACGTTCAATGTCAGCCCATGCTAACTTGGGGGCAGCATCCAGCATGGATGACAGGGCGCGGATGGAGGTGGAATCTCGGCTGGAGATGCTCCATGCACAGCTTAACAGGTGAGAACATCCCAGCTTTGTGAGGCATGCAATGGGCCAAACTATAACCAGTTGTTACAACCAGACCCTGGGCAAGATACTTAATTGGTGCAGTCTAAGATGGACACCCCAAATTGTCAAATTCCGGGGTGATGCAGTTAAACTAGCTCAGCTTCTTTATTTACCTGTACACTCAGTTGACCTCAACAAGGTTAATTCATAAAGTATCCCTTCCTTTGTTGATGCCTTTCTAACACACACAGATGAATTTATCATTTCAAAGGAGCTGATTTAACCAGGCTTTCTTAACAAAAGAGTGAGCTTACTAATTACTAAACATGAGAAAAAGTAATAATGTAATACATATACACAGAGATTAGAAACAAAAGATGAATCTCCAAAAAATACAAAAGTTAAATAAGGAGTATGGTATCAGTCTCTGAGTTCTGTGAAGAGTGGATTAAACACATTTGCAGCTAGATGACACCATAACACAGATGTTGGAATGGTGGGTGGTTGATTTTGAGAAGCTTGACTTTGTAGTCAGCTGAAAGGCCTTTTCTTGTTTCATTTTGGCTGCACTTCCACTTGTTTTCTGGCTTCCAGTAAGGACAGGCATCCTTTAGTTTTACCTGTGGCGCTGATGTGGCTTGAAGTTTTCTCAGATGTGACTCTCACAGCACACAAATAGCACACCTAGACCAGCGTTAAAACTGACTTTTAACTCCCATTCTTGTGTATTGTTAGAAAGGGAAAGCTCAAACATGTCTTTCAACCAGACTAATCTCTTTCTCCTATAATGTCCACAGTCAAAGGTAATTCTCAGGAAAATACAGTTCAGTTTGCAGTGAATTTCTCTCTTTGAGGCCCTTCTCTTTGAAGCTCCTTGACACTCATCAGGTGTTACATTACATAGTCTCCCCCAAGGCTGAGGATAATCCAAGAGCCTTCCAGAATCACTGAAATATATTGCTTAGAATATGTATCCTCACTTTTGTTTTGGCTGTAGTTCCTCTTTTTAAATAACATTTAGAATTAAAAATTCAATGTGTCCATAGGTGATCTGGGGTTATAATCCATCATCACGACAGTACAGTGATTTACAGAAGAAAGAGGGAGGTTAAAACTCTCAAGATCAGAATCACCCGTGCGTAGGTACTGCAGTGATAATTCCATGGCATTTTGCCATCACACTGTTCTGTTACATGAGCGATGCCACACTTTTACTACTTGGTCACATCATTGTGAATGTGAAAAAAGCAGGAACCACACACATGTTCACCAATACTCACACTTACAGTTTCATTCATATTAACACTTCTCCTCCAGTATACTCATAGTCAAGTTGAGGCGTATTTCTCATATTCTCACACATAGACACATAAATGTCTTACACCACTGACAAAAAGTCTCACATTGTTTCACATTAATTAATTGTTTAATTTAAAAAATGCACAAAACCCTAGACTCAGTTATCGTCATAGAATCATGGAGATGTGCAGCATGGAAACAGACCCTTCAGTCCAACTCATCCATGTTGACCAGATATTCTAAATTAATCTATACACATTTGCCAGCATTTGGCCCATATCCCTGTAGACCCTTCCTATTCATCTACCCCTCTAGTTGCCTTTTAATTGTACCAACCTCCAACACCTTCTCTGGCAGCTCATTCCATACTTGCACCATCCTCTGCATGAAAAGGTTGTCCCTTAGGTCTCTTTTAAATCTTTCCCATCTCACCTTAAACCTATGCCTTCTAGTTTTGGGCTCCCCTACCCCGGGAAAAAGGCCTTATCCATTCGTCCTATCCATGCCCCTCATGATTTCATAAACTTCTATACGGTCACCCCTCAGCCTCTGACGCTCCAGGGAAAATAGTCCCAGCCTATTCAGCCTCTCCCTATAGCCCAAACCCTCCAACCCCAGCAACATCCTTGTAAATCTTTTCAAGTTTCACAACATCTTCGTACAGCAGGGCGACCTGAACTGAATGCAGTATTCTAAAAGTGGCCTCACCAATGCTGAATGCATTGACTGAAACTAAGAGGAGATCCCACCAATAGTCTAGCTATCCAGGCTGGAGAAGGGAACAACTGTTAGAGTTCCTATTTTCCTGATCACTCAACACTCCCACTGTCAAGCATTTTTTATTCTTTCTTTACATGATGTGGATACCATTGGCAAGGCTAGAATCTGTTGACCATCTCAAATTGGCCTTGAATTGACAGTCTTGCTAGGGCAGTTTAGAGTCAACCACATTGTTATGGATCTGCAGTTGCATTTAGGCCAGTCTGAGCAAAGCAGACTGCTAAAGGAAGGTGACAATTACATTGGCTTCACAGCCACTGTTATTGATAACTGGTTTTCAATTCCAGATTTTATTCATTGAATTTCAAAGACCACAAGTTGCCAAGGTGGCATCTGAACCAATAACTCTCCAAGTATTAGCCTGGCCCTCTAGATTACACATCCAGTAACTTTACCTTATGCAGATCTGGCATTGGCTAAAGACAGAGCCAGTTAGTGAGTTAATAATAATGGTATTTTACTCAAGAAACACATTTGCAGCCCAAACACTGAATTATGAGTGTGACTTACATCAAAAACATTCAAGTATACTAAGTAATCAGATTTAAAACATGCAAATGTAACAACGACATAGGAAACAAAACAAATTTAGCAGCTAACAGGAAAGTAACAGCTATTAAAAGGAGGAATATTAAATCAAAAATGAACACACCAGTCTTTACATTACAGGCATTGAGTACATATAAATTTAATTATTTAAATACATAAACAAAAACAGAAGTGCTGGAAAAGCTCAACAGGTCTGGCCAGTTAACATTTCAGGTCCAGTGACCTTTCCTCAGAATTGATGGTAGCTAGAAAAATGTTGGTTTTTATGCAGAAGGTATGGTGGTGGAAGAGGGTAAAGATAGGTGGAGGTAGAGCCCAAAGAGAGAGAAGAACAGTTGCACAAAGGAGTGGCTAATGATCAGCCCAGGTGAGTCAATAGCTACTAATGGGGACTATTTGTGGCTAACAATGGGTGGTGTGTATAAGCAGACCATGTGATAACAAGAGATAGTAGGAACTGCAG